AATACCTTTGTATAATTGGATTTACCCACTTAACTCCAGCACTACGTGTTACAACCCCATCGCGAGGATATCGTATAAAGTGATAACGAAAGCAGACAACAGGGGCTTGTAATGCTAAAAACAGCCATCAAGGTATATACTATTATAGTACTAAGACCCCGTCAGTGACAGTATATACCTTGATGGCAGTTTTTAGCGTTACAAGCCCCTGTGAAGTAGACAACTTACCCTCACAATTATCACTGATTTCAAGACGTACTGACACTCGTACATTTCTATCAGATAATGAACATTTGACAAAACACAATAAATGGCATCAGTTGTCAGTTTAACAATATCTACTTTGCAGAAAATCACAAGCAATGACTTAAGTCTACCTTTCCGGTGGCTGTGTGTTTGTGTGGTTTGTCGTATTCGCTTGAACTCGACCTTTTCCGTAAGTGTTCTCTCGGCTGGGCGCGTATTGCCCTTTGTTGACGTGAAGGACGTTTCTGTGTATAGGTAAGAGTCTATGTCGGCCTTTTCGCTGATTTGTGGGTCCATTATTGTAAATCTTTAGTTACTTGTAGTCTATGGTACGTGATATGTTTTGAAGGGTATAGACGTCAATAATGCTCCCACAAGGCTCATAATAAAAAGTATATTTAATGATTCTAATCTCTTGTTAAAACGGAAATATGGATGTGATATGATCTTGGAATCTACAGAATTTACTGAAAACACTTTGTTGAAGGTGTGTAAATAGCAAATATTTCTATTGTCTAGGACATCGCAGTGAGGCAGTAAGGGTGTACAAACGGTTATCTGACGACCAGAAAGCTGCAGTGTCTGACATCTGAAAAGTCAAGACCAGCCGAGGCCCACCCGCAAACCACTGTAACCACGGTTACAAAGACCGACCCATAGCCAGGATGTTCTGTTGGAGAGGCTTGTTCCACAATCTGAAATCCCATCTACTGACTGGCACAAAACTGTCCATGTTACTCTAAGCTTTAAGCATTTAATCATTAAATAAAGAATATTATCTTTTGAATTTTGTTATTTTATCTTGCCACAGGTATTCCCACTTGTAACACCCGGTTAGGGGTCTTTGTTCAAAAAGTAAAACCTGTAACTGGGTTTTACCACTGGTAAAACCTCCAACTGGAGGTTATTCCAAGGTTTTAAGCTACCTCTTCAATAAAATGGACAAAAATAGGGTTAGGTTTATAATGTCTGTAAAACACGCACCCGGTGTTGGTATGCTTACAAGAAATTCAGATAACGTGTCACCATAACCAAAAGGGAACGTTGATGCATTAAAGTGGCAAAAAGAAACTAAATGTCCAGTAAAGCAACTTTTAGAAAATCTTTGAAACAACATAAACAATACTGGTTACAATTCTTTCCCTGTCCTACACCTACTCCCTCTGTTTCCCAACTAAGCGATTTAATCTTTTACACATACGTATGTTGAGTTTGAACACGTATCTAAACAGTAAGTGACCGTTCACATGTCTTCATGTTCATCCAACTTCTAAATGCCTTCCTAGAACTGAAATGCATGTGTTGTGTAATTGTTACTTATAACACACCTTGACTTCTCCCACCCGTGAAGATCAGGGTTAGAATTGATCCTCAGTAGCCCATGCTTGTCGGCTTGTCGACTAACGGGATCGGTTGGACAGGCTGGCTGACATGGTTGACTCATGTCATCGTATCCCTGTTGCAAAGATCGATGTTCATAATGCTGATCACTGTCTGGTCCAGGCTCGATTATTTACAGATATCCGCAAAATAGCTGGAACATAGCTGAGTGCGGCGTTAAACAACAAACCATAATCAGCCAACATTGACCTCTCTGAACACTATTTCAAATAGAAGAGAAACAACACCTTGTTTATTCAAATTCTAATTTTTAAAATAACAGTGACAAAAAAAGGTATTCAGAATGTTATACTGACATAGACACATTGAGAAACATATGTTTATTAGGCCGAGGTCAGCTGTTGCTGGCGAGGTGCAGGCGGAGCAGCATTCGGCACGTACACGATGTATCAATGTCTCTCGCTCTCTCGGTTCATGATTATGATCACTGGACTAACCGGTCCAGACTCGATTAGTTACAATATTCCGCCATATAGCTGGAATATCGCTGAGTTGAGCCTTAAACAAGAGACAAACAAACAGGAGAGAAATAATTACATCCCCGTGACATTGTGACAATTAAGATCACCCGCATATCAGGCTAATAGATGAATGGTTTTCTCTGCCATTCCAAGATTCATGCAAAAAGGTGCAATATTTTCTATGTACAGAATGGGGATGATTTCTTTTATTAGCCTTTTTTTTACCGGACGTTTCATGTTGATAATATGTGTTGTGTCCGACATAAATCAGTCTACGATGAGCATATTCAGTGTCAAACATTACGTTTGTAAATTCTCCAGTATGTTTTAGTTATACTGCTTTGCATTTGTTTAGGGAAAAAGTGATGATATATTCCCCAACTTTAGTGAACAGTTTTTGATGATGCTAGCAAATGATTTGGTTCTTCAAATAGAAGTTGAGTTCATGATATCACCTCCCGAGGTGTGCAATCTAAACTAGATGTTGCAGCTTTCCTGTTTGCAACTGTTATGTTCCTACACAATGTCAAGCATAAAGTTGAAATGCAACATGCACGATGAAGCTGAAACTCTTGCTATGTTTCACAGAAATCAGCATATAGTAATACCTTTTCCATATAAACATACCTTTTACACAGTTACAGTTGTAATGCACGTGCATCACGATCACAGCCCGTGCTTAAATAATGACAATTCAAGCAGCTCCATCGCCCTATTTGGATCATGAATGTAACCGTTTTGTCTAGTCCGTCTCTATGTCAAGGACCACATTGCTACTCAGGCTGAAATGCGACCTAACCTTAGTCAGAAACTATCATCGAACACGAATAATTATCATGCACTTCTTGAGCTCAGCTTGGATTGTCAGCTTTAATATTGCTCTGGGTGCAGTTAAACAAAACACACAAATACCTTCGTGTGAACAAGACCCTATTAGGCTATCATGGATATTTTCTCTCGTTTTTTCGCTCATATTTCAGAATTATTACTAGACAGTTTATGTCATGCTCAAGAAGCAAAATGCTCCTACATTTTGACAAAGGCTCGACGTATTGCCTTGATGAATCAGATAACATATAGAGGGCGCAGCCACTCATCTGATATGCTCCGGAAATGAAGCCAAACTTTCGTAAAGTCTCACACAAATCTCAAGGTTCCTGCAGCTCTTTAATGCAGAATATACCGAACGCTCCTTAGGCGATTCCCAACTTGTTTGAATCAGCTAAGTGAAATTGACCAGAGACATGTGAATGAATATTGAGAAAGAAAGACAAGAAAATGTTGCCTCATTTTAACGCCGGGTCAAATGAACTGGCAAACACTCAAGTGTAATTTTAATAATTTTTCCGCGAATGTGGAAAGGGTTTTGTTTAAAATTTTCCGGAATGTTCATGCATGTGGTTGTTAGGGAATCTGTATCGTTCCTGTTATTGTAATCATATATCTTATGAAAATGGAATTCCATGGGTCCTTACAAATGTGATTGACGTCTTTCATAAACAGAGTATGTCCCATTTCACTAACACCAACAGAAACATATTTTGAACAAACTGACACTTTATGTGATTTCAATTTAATTACCTACAACTTTTTTCACCAAAAGTATCACCGTCAAAGAATAACTGTCGCTAGCCGAAATATACTTCCAATCTAGACTGACAGTATCTCAGACTGGTATCCCAGATTTGCGATCTCGTCCCAGCAATTACATCTATAAAAGGTAGGGCCAAATGTTACCAAATTTCCTTGTCCTCCTCTCTAGTAAAGTCTACTCACAGTATTTTGTGTGTCTCTCGTCATCATGCCCATCAAACTGTATCACTATAGCACAGCTGTTCAAAGCGGCATTACACCTCATTCCATTGAATTACAACTCGCGATCGTTCATTCATCGCTACAAAGAGAAACGAAGCAAAACAGAAACAAAAGCTGAAATGTACATGTGCAATAAAATGGTCTGATGTATAGGAAATGTGAAAATGGGTGCACAAAATGGAAACGTGACGTCAAGTATTTCAAATGTTAGCATTGTTCTACGAAATAATATGATTTAATACCTGAAATCTCACTAAATTTCCTTGTCCAACCATATGATCACATGAATTTCTCATCTTCAGGGTCATCTAACGGACAGAAATAGAAACTGCGCACATTCATTTTACTTCCTAACAAGCAATAAAATCTGAAAAGAGAACAATTTGGCTTGGGGTGACATTTCAATATAGTGTCTCCTGTGTATAATATGTGAAAACAGGGATACAGTATACCCTTGACCTCAAGACTTCAATTTGTATACTTCCTTTCAAAAGTTTAGACTCACTTAAAACAGTCTAAACTTTTGATGGGAAGTACATTACACTAGTGAGTCTAAACTTTTTGAAAGGAATTATATATGGTTTTAGGAAACATCGCTCAGTACTAGAAATATCGTTTGAAATTTGTTTGGGCCCATGCTTTGTTGAACGGATGATGAGATCATTCTAAATACACATACAGTGGTGTGGTCATATACACGGAAACATGTACACTTCCGAGTAACAAAAAACCTAACCAGCATCGGGTTCGTTATTCCTCAATTCTATCCAACACAAAATGTTCTTCGTTTTTCGAAAAACAAATAATATACCCAGACTCTACCTTAGCTTTAGCCTATCATAGGGATAACGGAGAGGAATATTTCCTTCAAACTTCAGCTGGTTCAGCACACTGTTGAGATCAAGTAGTCGTTGTGTAGCTCAGGTCATCCCAGGAATCTCCACAACAGCTGGTGATCTTTCACCTGGTGGACTATTTCACTTCATGCTGGAAACGACCTATTTGAATATTGCATGTCTGCAATTCACTGACAAAGCTATGCCCATACGTTTTGGTGAAGACACAAGCCATTCCTGACTAACACCATGCACAGAATGTCATAAACCGCAGCTCTGCACTGACTTTCATTCTTTTGATTTTTATGTCAGACAAACGCGCACCCTTTACTTCCGTGTCTGTGCATAGAAATAAGAAACCGTATTTATCACAGAATATATCGCACATGCCTGCCTGATCGCCATCTTCTAACGTGAGCAGCTCCCTGACAAACTCTCCCGACTCTGTCAGCTGTATCACCTTGTCTGCGTCCCAGTCTACAACCAGGATGTCTCCTGTGCTGGTAGTTGTGATACCACAAGGGTAGCTGAGTGCCTTGTCTCCGGTGGGGGCGTATCTCCATAAAACATCCCCCCCTGACGTCAGACATGTCACAGAAGTATTCATACAGTCAGACACAAGTAGGTTGCCCTTGTTGTTGACACACATGTTGAAGGGACAGGAAAACAGCGAGTCATCATTGTATGTAGTGACTGACCTCAACACGTGTCCAGCCATGTCCAGGATATCAACACATTCCCAAGTACCTGCTGCTAGAGATGAAGGATTCAGAACAGCCAGACTGAAGTATCCAGCAGGTGTTTTGGTGGTAGAGAGCAGCACCAGGTCAGGGGTCACTTCTATTATTACAATCTGATGGGAGTATGGGACAGCAACCATCACTTGCTTCTCATTCAACTGTGTTATCCCACGTGGGGCGTTGCCAAGGGGAAGTTTACTATGGCATGAATGATTATTTCTTGTGAAGAAAGATTTCACGCACTTGTTATTATCGTCCGTAACAACACATGTCTGTACACCATCTACAACCAGGACTGTCACATCAAATAGAAAAGGGTCCTTCTCATCACCCTCCATCCTCCCATCTATCGTGTCACCCAGCACTGGAGATGGCAGATATTGCTCCTGATCCTGGTATGGGACGTCAATCTTCCCCAACTGCAGGTTATCGAGGACCTTCAGGACGTTGTCAGTGTCTGGTGTAAAGATGACGTCATCTATTCTCCGGATGTCTGCTGCCTCTGTACCTCTGACATCCTCCATCTCTACAGCTCCAGACTCCCAGGCCTGATACGCGTCATACAGGTCAATCTCACAGTCCGATACCAAGGCCTGGTCAATAAACTCACAATGTTGTCTGTACATCTGCATCTCGATCTCTTCCAGCTTCACATCAGCTTGGAGTTGGTCGGCGTATGTCTGTGATGTGTTATTCAGTTCATCCAAGAGTTGTGTTTCTTTCTGTTTAATCTTGTTAATAGCTGTCTGGCAGATCAATCTAATATTTTGAACAGCTGACTCTGTGATTCTAGAATTACTTTGGAGTTTCTCCTGTTTTATGTCTACTTTCTTCGACCTCACTTTCAGTCTCTTCTCCATGCCAAGTCTCTTCTCCATCAGTGCTGCCTTCATCCCTGGCTTCATAGACTCAATGGTGACGACAGTCTTACAAGCTCTATGGTAGATGATACAACATGTCTGACAGGCAGCCTTCCCACAGTCTTGACAGTGGAACTGAACAAGGTTACTCTTGTGTTCCGTGCACTTGATCCTCCGTTTGACATTTGACCTAGACCACAGATCACACAGGTCATGGTTTAGTGAATTGGGTGTCACCCGGTGTGTCTTCACACATTTGTCACAGAGGGCCACTTCACACTCAGGACACCACAAGACCCCTAGAGTTGTCTCCCCTAGTTGCTGACAGATCGTACAACAGGTGCTCGAGGTCTCTGTAAACATAAGTTCACGTACTTATTTTCATCACAACTTGAAAAGGCTACTAAAGAAAGCAGGGTATTTTTAACACACACAGATGTAAATGTTAAGTCTACCGCTGGTTGTAAATACATACATACACATACACACACGCATATCATATTTTCACTTTACCTTGCACAGCTACTTCGGACCTATAGGTGTCAATCAGCCCCTGTATCACAATGCTGGCTTTGATCTGCCCCGCCCACTCCTCCACCGGCCTGCTGGGGTGGGGGACCTTGGTGTCTTGTCGACAGCAGGGACAAGGGATGGTCTTGGACTGTACAGCATCAGGTCTGGTTTGGATGTATGAGGTGACACATTTCCTGCAGAATGTGTGATCACACCTCAGTGTAGACGGGTCTGTGTACATCTCGAAGCAGATGGAGCATGTGAGGAAATTATCTTTTACTTTCTTCTCTAGCCCGGCGGTCGCCATCTGTAAGATACACATGCAGTTTGTGCCTGTTTAGTTTAACACAAATAAATTACGTCTAGCCCGGCGGTCGCCATCTGTTAAATTCACGTGTCAGAGTTCCTGATCTAGTTCAAAAGTTACATACGATATGCATTATTTCCAGGCATTTCTACAACATACGCATGCACGTGGGTCAGAACCCCGATTCGCCCTCATTCTGTTTCTGGGGTTTTCGGCATCATAACCTTGTTTCAGAGGCAAGAGTCACAGAACGGTCCCCATATTAGGGAACATGAATTAGCGACATGACCCACCTCTCCCTCATCGGTCAGGCATCCGATGGGTTGAGACATAAGCCTGTCTAAAGATACAAAGTGACCATAGGTAGCTTCCCCAAACATGAAATGAGGGAAACTGGATACGGGCCAGGAATGTCAGTTATTCTAATTAAAAGAATGTATATATAACTGTGAACCAGCAGTGCTAGGCAGGCCGGGCTGAAGCTGAGAGTTCAGGGCCACCTCCTGAACACCATACCCGAATAAATCGCTGTGGACCCACAAACGGACTTGTGTTCTGAACAGAAGGGGGCGGTGGGGTAGTCTAATGGTTAAAGCGTTGGCTCGTCACGCCGAAGACCCGGGTTCGAATCCCCACATGGGTACAATGAGTGAAGCCCATTTCTGGTGTCCCCCGCCTTGATATTGCTGGAATATTGCTAAAAGCGGCGTAAAACCAAACTCAGTCAGTCTGAACAGAAGACATATCCCGCAGAGCATCAACTAATCTGAGGCACATATTATATACTTGTGGGGTTTCACCTAAGTAGCATCGTTCTAGGCTTTCGTCCCTCACCAAGGTGACACCCTCAGATAGAATACTGTACAATGTTATCCTATCCATAATGGCTTCCAAGGGAGATACTGCTTGGGTGCAGACGGTTGCGATGTTATTGTTTACCATGACATCATCAGCAATGACACAATAACTGGAACAGTAACGGACACAACTGGAACTGCCTACCGCTTTATGACAACATATCATTTACTCATTTCGACGGTGGGGTAGCCTATTGGATAAAGGTTTGCCCGTCACGCCGAACACCTGGGTTCGATTCTCCATACGGGCACAATGTGTGAAGCCCATTTCTGCTATCCCCCGCCGTGCTATCGGCGCATAATAGAGAAGACATGTAAAGGCGTCAGAAATGTAGAGCTCCACTTCTACAGTGAACACGGGTATATTGATTAATGCACACTGTTGACGTGCTCCGTGGCAACAAGGTACATATGGACTAATTAGGAGGAGCGATATGCTCGCCGAATGACGCCATTGTTAATATTATTCATCACTGCATTAATATTAACCATTACTGAGGTAAAATCTGTAAACATGTAACACTTCATATACATGCTTTGTTTGACCATTTTACATATTTGGGAATAGCATGATATGGGACAATATGATCAAGGAAACACTGTACTTGTGTACTATGAGGCTACCTGTACTGTACTGTACTGTACTGTACTACCGAGGTTAAGTCTGCAAACATGTAATACTTCATATACATGCTTAGTTTGACCATTTTACATATTTGGGAATAGCATGATATTTGACAATGTTATCAAAGCAACACTACTTGTGTACTATGAGGCTACCTGTACTGTACTGTGCTACTGAGGTAAAATCTGTAAACATCTAATACTTCATATACATGCTTAGTTTGACCATTTTGCATATTTGTGAACAGCATGATGTAAGAGTGAGTGACAAAGGAAACACTGTACTTGTGTACAATGAAGCTATCTGTACTATACTGTGTACTACCGAGGTAAAATCTGCAAACATGTAACACTTCATATACAGTCTTAGTTTTGACCGTTTTACATATTTGTGAACAGCATGATATTTTGACAATATGATCAAGGAAACACTGTACTTGCATACTATGAAGCAACCTGTACTGTAATACTGAGGTAAAGTCTGTAAACATAATTCTGGGAATAAAAACATGGGGGAAAATTCTATTTATAAACGTATTTTGTGATTGTCTCTATTCAGTAAGTTTCAGGGCTGGGTGGCACAACAACACAGCCAGGTTGTAATGTGAAAACGAAAGTAGGTGACTGCCTTGTTACAACCGGTATTCAATCGACTAGATATTTGTAGAATAATGATTTACAAAAACAATAAATCCATGGTGTCAGCTTGACAAGATCTACGTTTAGGTTAACGACAAAAGGCACCTGAATGTCTTCCTTTCCTATAGGTGTGTCCAAGTGTGATTACTGCACTGTTTCAAGAAGTCTTTTCTGTAACCGTTCACGCAGCTGCACTCACCCTCACTCGGTCGCAGTTCGGCTCTGTCCGTAAAACGGAGCCCGGCACAATTCATTCCATTCCATTCGTCACATCTCGCCGCACTCCAAGAACGATTCAGCTTGTCCCGGAATGACACGAGTTGGTCACGAATGAAATAGAGGCGAGTAGTTACGAAAGAATTATTGACCCAGCATAATACTATATGTAGAACAGCTCAGGTAGTGGAGGAACGATTGTGTAGATGCGTAAAACAATTTACCGTTGAGGATTATATTTATAACGCTGTAATTCAGTCAAAGTGAATAAAGTTTACTTAAAAAGTCTGCACTCGCCCTATAGGGTGAGAAATATAAACTTTCCACTCGTCCTTCTAGAATTGTACTTGCCCTAAGGACATGCATCACAATGAATGTAAATTTAAATTATATTATTTCAAAATGTTTGCTTCCAGTAAAACTGCAATAAACATTACTTACTTTGTCTTCCGTACAAACTCTTTGACAAAATTGAATTCTTTCACCATTTAAGATAGCTGAACTACAAGGAAAAAAAAGAAAAATATTACTTTTGGGTCAGAAAACGTACTCGTCCTCTAGGACAAGCAAATTATGTTTTTCCCTTGCCCGAAACACATTTTACTCGTCAATACGAGCGGACGAGTGGAATTTCGAGCCCTGACTGTTCTGTAATTATAAACTGTTTTGTTTGTCTGTTTGTTGTTCTATGGTGGCTCATTCGGGCCATCGCTTTATCGCCCTGTAAAATCTAGGCCATATCGCGACAAAGCGACAGTACGACACGACATTACCATATGGTGACACGATATAGCGATATTGCGATACAGCCCAAAAAACCAAATAGCGATAACACGACACGATATGACGATAGCAAGACACGACATGGCGATAACTCGACACGACAATGCGATAACACGACACGAAATGGCGAAATGGTGATACTGCGATAAAGCGATAATGCGATATAAACAGGCGACACGGTGATATTGCGACATAACGATATGACGAAATAGCGATACTGCGATAAAACGAAATTGCAATAATGCGAAATGGTTATACGCGACATGGCGATACTGCGATATGGCGATAAAGCGATATATTCATCTTTATATGAGTTTGTGTGTATGTGGTATGTGCGTGTGTGTGTATGTGTGTGTGTGTGTGTGTGTGGTGCGTCCATGTTGTATTTGAATTAGTATCGTATTACCTTTAGTCAGAAAGCAAACACTTTCTAGGGATTTCACGTAATGATAATATTCGGTGTATGCAAGTGGATTTTATCCAATAGTAATCTCCTATGCGTGCACAGCATGAATATGGTGCTAGTGTGTAACTCATCGTCTGAATCATCAAAATGCTGCAACAACCGAATAATACATACAGAAAGAAACAAACATGATCGACGAAGCACCGCGAAAAGAACATGAAAAGATGGAGTGGTTATTATTATTTATGACTGGATCTCTTATAGCAGCTGTTAAACTTCGGCGTCATATCACCATTAAGTAAAGCACAACGGAACAACGTCGGCGAATGGAATCATTGTTCCATCCATAAGTGTAGAAAATGACACTAAATGTAAAAATGTTTGATTTATTTACCAGTTTTCTTTAAATGGTCATTACTAGCATATCATTTGGCTGATTTTATTCAATCTTAATACATACAACACGAAGTAAAAGTTTGTTATTGTACAAATTTATCATTGTCTTATCTTTAAAACCATCGTATGAGCTACAACCAAAAAGTGTTATTAATACATTGCATGTACAAAATAAGGTTCTGCTGTTTTAAAATAAAGTGTACTATTCAGCTTTTTCTCGAATTGCGTAAACTGTCATGCCGTTTTGGGGTACATGTGTTTTAAGGCCTATGACAAACGGCTTATTAACATCTGTAGCGCGTATACGTGTTGTAACTAAATATACACATGAGCGTTAATTAAGCATCACCTGAAACTAAGGGCTATTGTAAAACTTTTATTTCAAACAGGCGATCATACTAGAATGCACGAATGCACATGTTAAGCACGTGCTTCACCCAACATATAAAACGCAGTGGGTCGCAGGTTCATGTTCTGCGAACGCGCCTAGCACATTGGGGTATATATTGCAGTATGTGCACTCCGAACTGATATATAAGATGGCAGTACAAAACATCAACGTTTCTTGACAAGGCAAGACTTTCGGTAAATGGAAAGTTATTGGCATTGATGACGCCCCATGCCAAGTCAGCATCGGTGCTAAGGTTAACATTAACGGTTGTTAGCTGACTTGTAAGGAAGCACGTGGTCACCGGTGAACTGAAGGATCGTTCAAGACCTGAAAGATCGAGAAGGCCAATGACCTTGATGTTGATTCGACGCAATCCCATGCCTCATGCCGAGGAATTGCGCCGGAAAAGGAAATTGGCTGGTCAGGGGTATGTCGTCCGATTAGACTAGAGCCGTCATCGCCCATTTGGAGAACAACGCCATCGAAA